CCAGAACTTTGTGTCTTAGCTGTTCCAGAGGGTGACCTCTGTAATGTCCAACCATTCTACTGCATTCAAAAAGCCTGAAGCAGCTTCATGCATGCGACGTGACTTCAGTAGCCACACTGATAGGTTCAGCCCATATTTTACCACCGAGAGTGGCAGACAATGTCAGTCAGTGATCATCAGTAGCCACCACACTAGGCAAGGCCTCAACGCCCCTGAGCCACCTCTGTACCAAGTGGCCGCTTTCTCATCAAGGGGAACAAAAGACATGAGGCTTAAAGGTTCTTTCCCAGCTATGCAAGATACCTCGTGGGCAGCTCCACAAGTTCAAGGTTAAGTACAAGGGCATAGCTTGTCTTCTCCCGACTTTCTAGCCCCACTAAGCAGACCTGACAGGGAGGATCCGACCCATCATCTAAGCCCTCCACACTGTGGCTCGTGCGCAAGTGGAGCTGGGGTATTGACAGTACCCCTCTAGCACCTCTACTCCCAGCCCTCCTGAGTTAAGTGCTGTGGTTTGAAGAGGGGATGGAGGTAGGGGTCCCAGGACATTCCCTGTTAACAGCTACCTTTTCCCACCAGCTGATGAACGCCGTGAACACACTGGACAGGGACGTCCTCAACCAACTGCATGTGCAGCTCATGGAGCTGAGAAGCTGTAAAGGCTACAAGCAGTGCAACCCCCGGACCCGAAACATGGACCTGGGTGAGTAGGGGTCCCATTGCGGAACCTGCAGAGAAGAGCTTAGATCATGTCAGCCCCAAAAGTGAACCCAGAATCACAGGGAAGGGTCCAATCAAGACAAATGATGGGGAAGGCTATAAACACCTCTGACTTTCACAGGACTGTGCTTCCCAAGAGCCTTTACAATCGATACAGAACACAAACTTCTTTCACATCCCTCCCCCCACTTTGTTCATTATTTCCACAGACCGTAACCCTGTGAGTTAGGGAAGCAAACATATGAGGTGGCATCCTGCTTGGAGCAAGGGTCCATACAGGGAAGCCTCTGGCTTCAATGAAGTGAGACAGGATCATTGGGGCTCTGTGCTAGATCAGGAATGAGCACTGTGAGGAAGCAGCAGTCAACTGCTGAACAACCTGGGGCAGCTGCAGTGGGCAGAGCACAGACAAACTGTGTGGCTGGAGTGATGGATGTGTGACAAGCAGGGTCAGCCAGCCCTCCTATACAGGCCCTGCAGGCCACAGAGAAAAAAATTTTAGACTTTAATTGAGATGGTTTGGGGAGCTGATGGAAGCATTTAAGTTTGGGCAGTGAAAGTCAACTTTCTAAAAAAGACAGCGATTACTAAGTAGAAGGTGAAGCCTGATCTGGTAGATAGTGGCACCTAACAGTTATCCATCAAGACTGAGAGATAATAATGGACTTGAGGTGCAGTACTGAAGCCCATACAACTTGGTGGTGCTGTGAAGAGGAGATAACAGAAAAGGAGGTGGCACAGGCTACTCCTGGGTTTTGGGGGGAAATCAGGATAAACCCAGCAGTTCTAAGTTCAAGGTACCAGCTGAATGTTCTAAGATGGAAACCACTAAGAGGATGTCTTGTGCTTATGAGCCACAGCCAAGTGTAGAGGGAACAGCCTCAGAACTCTTGGTCCCCTGTTTGTCCTAAGATGCCTAGAGTTCCCATCAGACAAGTGAGAAGTGGAGGAGACAGACCCAGGGGGGCCAGTCTGCTTTATGATGGGGGGGAGGGCCAGAGTGGCTCAGAGGAGTAGCAGGAAACACCTGACTACTTTGTGACGGTTGTGCAATGTCATCTAAGTACTGTACCAAGCACAGTGCCAAGTGGTATGTGGGAACTCACAACAGCCAATGAGGTGATGCTCTGCCCAGCTTAGAAGCGAGTAAAGCGAACCCACTGGCTGACTCCATGCTCATGCATTTAGTCACATCCCATATCCTCAGGAATTCAGAGTGCAACCATAGGGAGTCCCTCACCCACCCACAGCCAATGATTTTGTGTGGCACTAGTACCCACCCTGTGCCTGCTTCCCCACGAAGGCCATTGTGAATGAAGGCTCATGCATACTATGGCTAACTGGGGTCAGCAGGGGTCGGGGGGGAAATCTATAAGGTCACCTAGCATACTAAAGAGGTCATCATCGTTCACCCATTCTACCTGAGCAAGAAACACTGCTGACAGCTTGGCCCTGGCACTATGACAAGCCAAAGGTGTTTAGTGGTCACAAAGTTTGTACCATTTCACCTCAAACTGTTCCTGTTCTGTTCATCTCTCACTTAGGACTTAAAGATGGAGGAAGCTATGAGCAATACAGGTATTTGGTTTTGTTACTTCAGTTCGGGCTAAGTTACCCCATCTTGACCTTTTTTTTGTTTTTTGTTTTTTTGGTTTTTTGTTTGTTTTTTTGTGGTTGTACCTATTGAGAAACTGTCCACCAAGGGCCTAATGACCCAGTGATAGGCATCACCTCAGACACCATCTTTGCACAGTTCCTGGGGGAGTTGGGAGGAGACAATACAATCTCTTGGTGATGGTTAACACATACATCTTCCTTTTGGCACATCCCTTTAGGCAGTTTCAGCGTCGAAAATGGCCAGAAATGAAGAGACCTTCTTCCAAATCACTGTGAGTTGAAGAACCAGTTTGCAGACAAGTAGAGCTGGTTCTGTCTTGCTAATTTCAGGTTTTACTGCTGTTGTCTTTTTTTTTTTTCCCCTCCAGTACTAGGGGTTGAAGCCAGGAATCATTCATGCTAGGCAAAAGTTCTCCCACCAAGCCTTGTTTCCTCTGGGGCTGTTCCCATGCTGAGAGGGGGGGACAAAGTAATAGCTGTTTTTTCTATAATACATTTCATAACTTCAAATTAATAGCTAATCCTAATTGATTGCCATTCTCTAATAATCTGTGAGCTTGAGCTGACAGTGTTGAGGAGTGGTTAAGGACTACAGCTGATAGACACCTTGAAGGATGTGGCTGCAATGTACACCCTTCTCAGCAGAATGGCTGTCACAGGCCACGTGGAGACTGCAGCAACCCACAGTTCACTTTGAGTCTAGGGGCAGCCAATTTCTTCCACAAGGGGTGCAATACAGCTTGCCAGATTCTGTCAAAAATGCAAATGTGGAGCCGGGCGGTGGTGGCGCACGCCTTTAATCCCAGCACTCGGGAGGCAGAGGCAGGCGGATCTCTGTGAGTTCGAGGCCAGCCTGGTCTACAGAGCGAGATCCAGGAAAGGCGCAAAGCTACACAGAGAAACCCTGTCTCGAAAAACCAAAAAAAAAAAAAAAAAAAAAAAAAAAAAAAAAAAAAAAAAAAAAAAAAATGCAAATGTGTGCAAATTCACCTTAAAACTGACAGTTCATCTGTCCACTCCCCTCTCTGTAGTGACCCACCCTGGCCTCCGTCCCTCTTCATGCATGTGAATTCTGTGGCTTTGCGGACAGTAATGGGCCAGCTTCCAGAACATGCATCTCAAATCCTTAGGCACAATTCTACCCAGACTCTTAAAAGGGGCCACTGAGTCGATAAGTGAGCAATTATGAGACAACTGGGTGGAGCAATTGCTCCCCTCATGGCCTAATGCTCATCAGCCACACCCTTAAACCAAAGCTTTGCACAGTGTAGGGCTGATTTAAAAGTCTGAATAGCACTGTTTTGTTCTGCAGGGGACAGCTTTGGGAAGGCTGGGAAGGTTAAGCGGCCCTAGAGAGGAACCTCCAAAACCAGAGGCCTTGTGTGGCTGCCCAGGCCATGCAAAACCACATGATTCCCAGTGCTGGAACTGGGAGGCCTGACAGGAGGCAGGGCCTGCTCCTGGGACACGAAATCCTTGAGGACAGCACCCAGACTTCCCCGGGCCCATTTTTTGCCCTGCTTTGCTTTGGACTGGAACCTCACCAGCTACACAGAACGAATTCTCATGCCTGGAGTCTCTGCCAGCCCGCTGAGGTTCAGAAGGACAACAGAACTGATTTCCATGGATTTCTTCCAGGGATGAAAGTTGCTGGGATTCTGTTTAAGTCGTATAGGGAAACAAGCTTTTAACCTTCTTATTCTTTGGAGAAAGCACGGACATGGGCAACTCCCGAGTGCTGCCGACAAGGCAGTCCGGCCATGAGTCAATAGCACAAAAGTGGCACCATTCACCTGGCCGGATGAGCCGCTGCCTCTGAAGCTGCCTTCACTGTACATATGTGACCGCTCACGTGTAACCAACACAGGGACTTTTAGGGGAATCTCACTAATACAAAATCCCATTTTCAAGAGTCGTGGTGTCAATAAACGCTCTGTGGCCAGTGTCAGCGAAAATCCCTTGAGCTTGTGGACATTTCTGTTCCCGTCCAGGATTCATTCCTTTGTTATCCATCCCAGAACTGATGTTTTCTAAGGTACTGAACACCCAAGTTCATGTGTGTCCTGTGTTTAATGACATTGTATTTGTAAAGAAATTTTGTAGTGTAAGTACAATCTCACAGTGTTCATACCCCCAGCCAATGACTAGCTATTGGTATGAAAAAAAAATCTTTGAATTTTTGTAAAAGACTATGGTGGGATTTTTTTTTTTTTTTTTTTTAATCTTTTCTTTAAGCATTCAAGATACTGCCAGTGCCTTTGGGAAGGGTTCACCTTCAGCTGAGAGGGGTCTGGAGAAGCAGAGGGCTGTACATTAATATTAAACCTACCGTGCTTCAAGGGGCCTCACAGGTAAGTCTCACCAGCTCTGGGGCATCTGGAAGTCTGTTTCTCAACAGTAAGGCAAATGCAGCCCTTTGTTAAACCAAGTAGGGTGACCCGGTCCATGTGACTGCCAGAAAGCTAGGGCAGGTAGAGGCAGAAAGGTGAACCCAACTCATGTCAGCAGAGGGCACTGTGTTTGTCTAAAGAGTCCCTGTAGTTTTCAAATGCCCTGAACAGGCCCAGGCTTCTCACAGACACAGGAGTGTCTTATTCCATACTCTTTAGCCCTCTTTCACCCTAGACCTGGGCGTGTGGAGGAGAGGAAAAGCATGCTTAGGCTGAGGTTTAAATAGAAATCTTTATTTACAAGAGCATCCAGACAGTCAGCAAGTCATTCAAAGCTCACCCCAACTGAGCCACCCACATGGGTTCAATTCCTTGCAAGGTAAAGAAAGAATGACTCCATTTTAGGTGACACTTAATATAAACTTGATTAAACCCAAACGTATCCTTAGTGGTGTCGGTTCCTGAGAATTTGCTGCTCTCAGAATGACATTTCATCTTTTTCAAAACTCCATATATATATTCAAAGAGAAGAGAAATGGGGGGCAAGAACAAAAAATAATGCCCTGCTTTTTAAACCCTCTGCACTGGAGATTTTTAAACCATCCACACTGCAATAACCCCTGGTGCTTCAAGGCAGGATCAGTTTCAGCTAGCCTAGAGGCTTACTCCTGTGAACACCCCACTTGGAACAGAACTCACGTCCTCCCTCCACAGATCGAAAGGGACTGAACTGGCCTGTGAGCAACTGGCAATCCTCTGGATGGTCCAGCTGCATCTGCCTCTGAATCAAGAAACTTCTAGGCTGTCAAGCCATTATCTTCTGCAGTACCCACTGCTCCATACCCCCAACTCATCTCAGCATTTAATCCTGATGAACAGCTGTTAATGTCAGGGCACAGTTCAGAGAGAGAGCGTGCTAATACCAACAGCAAACAGTACAGCTTCGTTTATTTCTGAAGAAACATGTTTCCTTAATATCATTTGATCTTCATAAAATATATTTTTATTTATATATCTTTGGATTCAGCAAAAAAGTAGGTACTGGAAATGTCCCACATCATCAAAGCAGATGGGAAGATTAAACTGTTCGCCCAAAAGACACCAAGGTTGAAAAGGGGGCCAGGGGGGAGGGGGAGGCGAGGTAGGCAACAGGAGTACAAAGAGAAGGACCCAAAACAGACTAAAGGGCAAGCCAGGTAAAACAACAAATTGTCCCAAAGACTGTTCAAAGAAACCAGAATTCTGAATTTGCACCAATAAAAATAAGTAGAAAATATAAAAACCTAATAAACTTCATTTTCCCCCATACAAAAGGGGTGCCAACCAGTTAGCCTGGCATTGGGGTGCTGAGGAAAGAATCACAAAGTTGGGTTGTAAATGTCTTTAAAAGAGGCAGGAGCACCACTGTGGCTACACAGTCTAAGCATGGACGTCTCAGCCACACCCAGCCCAACTCAGACAGAGTGTCACCTGCAGAGCATAGCGACACAATGGAAGCTTATGGATTTACAATCTGAGACAGTAGGTCAGTCACAGGGGGATCCCATCATGACCTAAACACGTTGGAAAGTCAAGTCCATACTTGAGGTGGCTCTGGAAGCAAGCTTCACTTATTCACAGACAGAAGAATGGAGTGATGTCCCTTCAGGGACAAGGAGAACAAGCGGCTAAATGTGTGACTTTGAAAAGTTAACTGGCTCTCAGAAATGCCAAGGCTGGCAGGGATCTCTGAAAGCTACCGATAGTCTAGCAATCCAATTCCACTTAATTGTCTGAACCTAAGAAAACCCAAATAAAGGGCATTAAATCTGATTTTCCCCTACTCCAAACTGACTACAACAGGTGCCAAGAGGAGGCAAGAGAAGTGGCGGGGAGGGCTAGCGAGTGACAAGGCCCTCCCTCTGACCCAGCAGCAGTGGCAGGCCTGGTTCTGACCCGGCATCCTGATGCAGAGAGGTAGTGAGAGACCCCATGAGCAGAACAACAGGAGAGCTGAGCAGACAGCAGACCACACAGCAAAGCCCCAGTGCCTTCCAGCTAAACCTGCGGCTCAGGTCCTACCAATCAAAATCACTCCTAAAAGGATGAATGGGCTACATACTATTATCATTTAATTTATGAACTGCTTAAAAACGCAAAGAAAGATCCTTTTTGAAATCAATTTGATTTTTTTTTCTTTCTTAAATTCTTGGGTGGTTTTTTAAAAGCTCATTTCCCCATATCTATTCCTTCACCCAAATTAACAAAGTGCGTAGTTCTCTGGTAAATAAATTTTTAAAATTTTAAAATGACTCCATCTGAACAAATGAGGACTTTAAGAAGCTTAGGTGAGGTGGGAAGCTGCAGGCTGCTCTTCCTCCCCAGGCTGTGGCATCCCGGTGTCCCCGCTTGTAGCCCTCACTGCATGGAGTTTACAGAAATCGACAATGTTAAATATTTAGCTTCACAAACTCTGTAAAAAATGAGCTGCTGTGACCTACAAAAAAAGGTATGTACATATTTTTACATAATACAATATCTTAAAAGATCGTATTTACAAAAAGGAAATCTATTCACAGAAACACTGCGAGCTTCTGATTCAGAGTGCAGTACCTGGCCTTGGGTTTCACAAGTTTATTTCAAAGCATTATTGCTCTACCATATAGGCAAAGGGTGACGCCAGTACTTGAAAGAAAACAACAAACAAACAAACAACAATCATGTTCTTGTCCTAACAGATTAGTGCAGACAAAAACCAGGAACGTGGCTCACCATTCCTCACGCCCTCGGGAATATTGCATTTCTCCGCGATTTCCTAAATAAAGTGCACTTGGCTGCACATCAGCATGGGAAAAGTCAGTATTGTCATTTTCCCTTCTGCAAAGCCATTTAACATCAATGACAAATCCTTGAGAATTACAGGGTATCGGGACCTCATCAGGAGAAAACCTAAGACAACAGACTCTGGGGACTACCCCTGTAAAGGACAAGAGCGCAGAAACACTGGTTCCCCCGGACAGAAGAGCGACACAGAACTACTTGGTGACAAACCCTTGAAGACAGACTGTGCTCCTCGTCCAGTGCTACAAGACAGAAACCCTAGCCACCTAGATTTATGTGAAGACTTTGGCTGGCAAGGCAGAAGGAAGTGACCTGGGAGAGTGGTGACTATGCAATTCCTATCTCCAGAATCACATCCCCATGAGGCAGAAGACCATGCCACACAGAGGCAGGGCATCAGGTAGACAGTGCGCTTCAGCTTGAGACCCAGTCCCACTCAAATGACAGCACTGGAACACCCTGGTGGTCAAGCTGGTCCTTGGTTACCTCCCGATGGTCCTGTGCAGTGAGTGTCATTTGTACAGTGATTTCCTTATCGGTCCCACTGGGGAGATGTCAGCAGTATTTCTGTTAACAAAAGAAAACAGTCAGCATGGCAGAAAACCATCCGCCATCTGCACCCCTGCCAGGCACGGCTGACTGGTTCTGACTCTTTAGAATCTACTTCCACACAAACACCTAATAGCCCAGGACCTTCAAACCAAATGCTCTATTCAGAACTATTCTGTGTAAGTTATACATCTGAGTTAAAGTCTACAGACCACCTTGACAGGGTTCTGGGTCTAACCAGAAGGAAAACCCTTTTTAGAGAGTTAAGAATAGATACCCATACCTGATCAGGCCCCATGGGCATGCCGGACATGGGCATGGGGGCCATGTTCATCTGTCCCAAGTGCCCAGCAGCACTGTTGTTCATGTGGACCATGCTGTATGCTGCAGGGTTCCCCTGGGGAGCAAACTGCTGCTGGGGGAAGGAGCTGCAAAGAAAGGGTAATGTTGCTTCCACATCAACTCAGACTACAGGGCACACCAACTGTCACAGTTGTACCAAAGCAGAAAACACCAAAGAAAGAATGGAAGTCTTGTTTTGTTGCTGTTGCTAGAGACAGGACCTCATTATGTACCTCTGGCTATCCTGGAGCTCCCTGTGTAGACCAGGCTGACCTCAAACTCACAGAGATCCTCCTGCCTCTGCCTCCCGATTAAAGGCTAGCCACTACCCCTGGCCTGAGGAAAAGAGCCTGCCTGCCTTCTGTTTTCCACAGCTGTCGGGACTCAGCATGCTAACGGATATGGACATGGTACAAAGCAACCCTGAATAAGCCAAACACCTTGTTTCTAACTCTGAGCCAAGCCTCATGGTCTCTCCCTCCTAAGTGTGACTGAGAAACAGTCCATGCCTCCAGCACTAGGACATAAAGATAAGTCACACTCCTCACCTGCTTCTGGCCAGGTTCCCTGATGGCCACCCCTTCATTTCTGAGGACTGATACATGGGTGCAGTCTGAGGATGCTGCACCATGGCATTCTGGGAAGGCCCCATTCTTGATGACATCATTGCATTAGGAGGACTGGATACTCGCCCAAAGGCTGGATCTGGTGGTTGTCCCATCCCTTGAAGAAATAAACAAGAACCAATGTTCCAATGCTGCGCCCTTGGAATCTCGGCATCCTAGGTGGTAGAGAGTGGTGAAGAAAGAGAGGGCCACAGGTAGCTGCTCTGAGTGCTTCTCACTAAGATGACAAAGTCGTGGGTTTAGTAAGAAAGATGCCATCTAGACCCACTGGGAAGGCAGCTGCTTCATGCCCTTCTGTGAGAGAGACTCCTCCTTCCCAGAGGGCAGGGCTGCGTGCTAGAACTGGCACTCTCCCAACGAGACACCTTCATCCCAGTTTATCCCAGAACCTCCCAAAGGCAGGACTGAAGCACAGAGTGCTTAGCATAATCACAGTGGGGACTTAGGTCACTGAGAAAAGAGACTGAAGCCCACACCTGGGATCTGTCCCCTTGGCTAGAGTGTCCAGAGATGACACAGCATTCTTCACCACTGGGACATGAAAAATGGGCAAAGGAAGGCTTATGTAATTTTTTTTCAAACGAGAGGGGGTACTGGGGTTGAAAAAAGCCCAACTGAGAGAACATTCTCACTCTCTCCCCATTACGACACACACTGCTCTCTACCTGTCAGTTTTCCTCACAGACAAGATGGAGGGAACAGTATTTTGTTTTTCAAACACAGCAGACCTAGCGAAGCCTGTGACCTCAGTAACAAAGATTACTTTGGGAAAGGCACAGTATGCCAGGTTTACCATAGTTTGTTGGGTATGGAAACTGCTGCGGGGGGGCTTGTGGCATTGCTGGTCCTGACAAAACCCCATCCATGCTAGGAGAAGCGGTGACATTGGGGGGTGGGGCTGAAGGCCTGAGGCTGCGGCTGTGACATCATCATTGCCATTCTCTGCTGCTGCTGCTGCAGGTGATGGTTTATCAGCTCTCGCTTTTGCTGGGCAGTCATTTGAGCGTTAAAGAAAGCCTGCTGATAGCCAATACAAAAGGACCAATCAGTTTCACACAGTGCCGATTTCACACTACATGAGCTATCATAGAGAAAACATACTCAGTGTCTTGTCTGTAATTAAAGGAAAAAGAAAATTATCAAAAATGTTTCTTTATGCCTATGACTTCTAAGTGCTTCCCAGTAAGCGCGTGTCCTCACTATCTAGGATCAGAAGCATGTACACATTCCTAAAAAGCTCAGGGCTTATCTTACACATACCACCTCATCACAGAGGGACTCAATCTGGTAGATTTTACTGGTAGTTTTAATGAAGGAATCCCTTCTCCCCAACCCCTCACTACTAACACAAAGGAGAGTAAGATTGAAAGACTAAGTACGGAGGCTGGAGAGATGGCTTAGAAGAGCATTGGCTACTTTTCCAAGGACCTAGGTTCAATTCCCAGCACCTACATGGCAGCTCACAACCACCTGTAACTCCAGTCTCAGAAGATCTCACTTCCTCTTCTGGCCTCCAGGGTCATGCACAGACAGCCATGTAAGTAACACACTCATAAACATAAAATAACTTTTTCTAAAGAGAGAAAGTGTGATGGGACCAATTCTTACAAGAACTTTAAAATTATTCTCACTTGTTTAAGAAAGCCAAGCCCTGTGCTGGAATGTGGCGAGGTCCATCCTCTGCTAGGAACTTACCTGGGGCTGCATCATGGGCCTCATCACAGCAGCACCACCAGTAGGGTTTTCCATTTTCATTTCAAGTGCCTGCCGGCTCTGATTTAAAAACTGAACAGAGAGAAGTTAGCAGGGTCAAGTGGATCGTGTTGATGAGCCCAAATCTGCTGTGGATATCGTTCTGTATAAATAAAACACTGATTGGCCAGTGGCCAGGCAGGAAGTATAGGCGGGACAAGGAGAGAGGAGAATTCTGGGAAGTGGAAGGCTGAGTCAGGGAGACACTGCCAGCCACCGCCATGACTAGCAGCATGTGAAGATGCCGGTAAGCCACGAGCCACATGGCAAGGTATAGATTCATAGAAATGGATTAATTTAAGATATAAGAACAGTTAGCAAGAAGCCTGCCATGGCCATGCAGTTTGTAAGCAATATAAGTCTCTGTGTTTACTTGGTTGGGTCTGAGTGGCTGTGGGACTGGTGGGTGGCAGAAATTTGTCCTGACTGTGGGCCAGGCAGGAAAACTCTAGCTACACCAATCAGCTTTACAAATTTTTAGCACCACCCAGTGAGATGATCTCTCCAAACCGATTGAGCTGGGAAGCCAGCCACATCTAAATTGAGATGACTCAGCAGCTGAGAGCATGCACTGTTCATCCAGAGGACCTGGCTCCTTTCACAGCACCTACATGGTGGCTCAGTCACTGCTACCTCCAGCACCAAGGGATCTCACAACTCTATCTGCAGGCACATGTATATTCTCTCTCTCTCTCTCTCTCTCTCTCTCTCTCTCTCTCTCTCTCTCTCTCTCTCTCTCACACACACACACACACACACACACCCTTATTAAAAAATAAAGTAAATCTTTAAAAAAAAAATAGAAGAGAAATGCTTCCAAGTCCTTGCCTGTGTGTAAAGCTTGTGTGTAAAGCCTGTGTGTAAAGCCTGGCACTGGGTAAAGCCAGAGAGCAACTGTGCAGCTTCAACAGCATTGTAACAGGAGCTCAACAGACTCTCGGGGTCAGGTTTCTCCAGAGCTTGTTCAGACAATCAAATGAACAACTTAACTCAATCAGATAACAGTGAGCATTTAGTAGAAAGAAATAATAAAACACAAACAGTACCATGAGCATAGGCACACAGCTTCCCCAGTTCTCAACCCACTTCAGGAACAACCATACCCTGGCTCCAGCCCACTGGACTCAGCTCAGCCACTTATTACTCAAGTGATCTAGCACCACCAAATGTAATAAGCAACATTTGTCTGCACTTACTTACAATTTGTGCAGCCAATTATGTTTTGAAGCAATTATGTTTTAAAACAACTGGGAATTAAGGAAATATCAGGAAGAAATGGAAGTTCTATTTGGAATATTAATTCTTTTTAAATATTTATTCTTATTTAAAGTGTATGTCTGTATGTGGGTTTATGTGCATGACTGAGATTTTTCAGAGGTTGGAGGAGGATGTGGATCCCTAGCTGGAGTTAGACTGAGAGGTCCCCAGTGTGAGTGTGCCAGGAACCAAACAGGTCCTCTGCAAAAGCAACACATGTTCTCAACTGCTGAGCACGTCCCAGCCCAGGTACTAAAAGCTTTAAAAATATCAAAACACAGTTTCCATGAAAATGCTGAACTCAACAATGGTGGTCACACATGTGTACAATCCCAGCATGAGAGGTTGAGGCAGGAGGATTACAAGTTCAAAGCCTGTCTGGGCTCCTAAGGGTTGTGTTCAAAGCCTGCTTGGTATTATCAAGATCCTGTCTTTAAACTGAAAAGCTAAAATATCAAGGTTTAAGTATCATATTAAGAAAACGCGCCGGGCGGGTGGTGGCGCACAGCCTTTAATCCCAGCACTCGGGAGGCAGAGCCAGGCGAATCTCTGTGAGTTCGAGGGCCAGCCTGGGCTACCAAGTGAGTTCCAGGAGAGGCGCAAGGCTACACAGAGAAACCCTGTCTCCAAAAAACCAAAAAAAAAAAAAGAAAACGCATTCCGCCAGGCCAGTGGTGGCACACTCCTTTAATCCCAGCACTCGGGAGGCAGAGGCAGGCGATCTCTGTGAGTTCGAGGCCAGCCTGGTCTATAGAGTGAGTTCCAGGAGAGGCGCAAAGCTGCACAGAGAAACCCTGTCTCGAAAAACCAAAAAAGAAAATGCCTTCCAAGGACTGTCAAGACATGCTGCCTTCAGGGGAAATCATTTCTGATGTTCTACACCTGTTCTGTTTGAGACATGCGCTCACTGGGTAGCCCCTGGCTGGCCTGATACTCACTGTGTAAACCCAGGCTGGCCTGGGGAACTCACAGAGATGCCCCTGCTTCTTTCTGCCTCCCAAGTGCTGGATTAAAGGAATGCACTAAGCAGGGCGTGACTCTAAGGACTGAACTAGGTTGTCTAGATTGCATGGGAAGCACTTTTACCCACTGAGCCATGAGCCATTTTGCCACTGCTAATGTTATACATACCATAGGATATACTTATAGAAAGATACTCCATTTTAACTCCTCAACAAGGAACCACCTGCACAAATAAAATCTCAAACGGAAGTAAAAGCAAAAGGAATTCCTTTGGTTAGCAAGGAGTGGAGAGCCAGTGGCAAGAGCTCTGACGAACACAGCCTGAGAGCCTCTACAAGCCTGGGCAAGCACACAACTGGCTCACCTGCTGACCCTGCAGCCTCTGCTGAAGCTGCATTCTCAGCTGCTTTGGGGTGTTTGTCCGTGGTCTCACAATGCTGGCTCTGGGATGCATCCCTTGGAGAGGAAAGCTGCCTTGCTGGCTAATCTGATTCATCATGGAGTTAAAAGATGGCGGCTGTCCCTGAAGGTTAAAGCCTCCTTGCACTGGAGGACCCTGGCCTGGGAACGTCTGTCCATAGAGTCGCTGCCTTCTGGTCCATCATCACTGCTGCTTCTTGACCTTGAAAAAATGTCTTGTTTGGCCTCCAAAGCTTGCCCCTGAAACATCAAACACAAATGAATGGTGAGGTAAATCTGAGAAAGCAACCAAAAGCAAATATCCCAAACAAGGTAAAAATAAAGAAAGAAATAAAAATAAAGTCAATACATGTGGAGCAGTAGTAATGGCTCAGAATCCAGAAGCAAATCAAGGTTCAGGCCTGAAGTTCTGACATACAGACATACCCCCTCTCTGTTGGTAGCTGAGTCCTAGCACAGAACAGGCTTGCACACTCCACCTTTTCAGTAGCTACAATGTAGTCAATATCTGAAGAAGCACCATTTGCCCAAGACCAGTTACAACCAAAACCTCTCAAACCAGGCAGACAATAAACCAACATCACAGTGGGCAGCACGTTCTCATGCCAACTCATTTCATCACCACTTGTTGGGTCCAGGGCTTTTGTGTCTTTTAGGACTACAAAACTTGCTTGCCCCCTTTTTTTTTTTTTTGAGACAGGGTTTCTGTGTTGCCCTGGCTGTCGTGGAACTCACTCTGTTGGATAGTCTGGCCTCAAACTCTTGAGATCTGCCTGCTTTGCCTCCCAAGACCTGGTATTAAAGGTGTGTGCCACCATACCCGGCCTAGGACCACACAACTTTTTCTGGGCTACTTTGAAACAAGTCTTTGAGGCAAAGAGCCAATCACAAGTGGTTAGCATCCAACCTTGACCCCTTCCCCAAATCTTTTCAGTTATCCTAAGAAACCCCATCCACATACTAAAGATTGAGTATGTTCATATCCAAAAACATGAATTAAAGACCTGCACACCTTTGCTCTTATTCTTAGTACCAAGGTCGGTCCTTCCCAGTACAAGGACCTTCTTTCTGGGAGAGCAGAGATGGCTTTCCCTGTGTGTAGAAAAGAACAGGTACAGAGATACCCTGTCAGCTGAGAGAGAACAGCAGACAAAGCAACAGACAGAGTGAGAAGATCAGCCACACATGATCAGAGAGAAGCAAGAACTGTGCATGTTACACTAGGGAATCATTCTGACCAGAGTCCATTCAGCTGTCCTTCTCACACTGTTCTTTCTTACTGGCAGTGATGAGTAAGTAAATGATGTAAGTAAACTCTGCTAGAACAAACCAGCTAATGAATCCTGTGACGTCCTTTTCCTCTTGCCTTTTCTGTGGGGTAAAGGAGTGGGTTAAGGCAGGATTCCCTCCTGCCTTCTCGACAGTAGTCGATAGGGAGTCTGTGTGGTGTACATGTTTAGGAATGACTTCAACAGACGTTTACTCTTTGGCTTGGCTCAAAGAAGCACCAGTAAGTCTGTGTACTCCTCTGTGGGTCATAACTCAAGTCTGCAGCTTGAGGTAACATGACTGGAAGGGACAGAATAAAATGCAGGGAATTTGGCTGAAATGTAATAACAAGTGTAGGTGATTAGATTTCCTGGTTTTCAAACGTTTTCAGTAAAAGGAAATCAGTGTATTATCTTAATTTTTTGTAGCAATACCTCTGTATTTAAGAACTGATTAAATAATTAGGGGCTGTCCAGGTGGCTCAACAAGTAAAGGTGCCTGCTGCCAAGCCTGACAGGCCCTAATTATTTAATTCTTAATACTTACTATTAATTATTTAATTTAATTAATCAAGAGATTGTCGGGTTCAAACCCCTGGCTCCCACACGATGGAAGAACAGACTCCCGTAGCTGTGCTCTGGACTCCACATGCATGGCATGGCAGAAGTACATGAACACATGCACAAAAATGTTTCTAAACTTTTTAGGGCTGGTGAAATGGCTGAGTGGTAAAGGCCTCTGTCACAAATTCTCACAACCCAAGTTTGATTTCCAAAACCTACATGATGGAAGGATAGGCCTGACTCCCACTAACTGTTCTCTGACCTCCATGTGTGCAGTGTGGTGTGCATATGCATGGACAGACACACACACAAAATAAAATAAAATGTAATAGAACTTTATAAATCTGTTCTTTTAATTTAAATAAAGTTTTACATAATTCGTGAATAGCAAGAGATGATTTAGGTAACAATAGGTAAACTAGGGGGGAAAGGACTTCTCATCTCTGAAAGCCCTCCCAGTTAAAAGCTAAAGATTACCAGGTGGTGGTGGCGCACACCTTTAATCCCAGCACTCAGCAGGCAGAGGCAGGTGGATCGCTGAGGTCAAGGATAACCTGGTTTACAAAGTGAGTTCCAGGAACGCCACCGGCTCCACAGAGAAACTGTTTTGCGGGGTTGGGGGTGAGGCTGAAGGTGTCACCATCACTAATCCTCAAGTGGTCAGTGTTAGACCAAGCATCAACTCTCTACATGCAATGATGATGATGATAAACTAAATGCATGTTCTGGAGGAGGAAATAAGAGATTGTCGGGTGTACTACGTGTGCACCTTTGCCTTCTCCTGGGCCCCAGAGGCCAACACCACAGTGGGCAGCCTTGCTAAGCTCTTGTCCTGGACCTCTGCTGTGCCTCCCACGCCTACTCCAGCCTCTCCGTGCTTGGATGAGACTCAAGAGTACACTGGGTTAGTCTCGGGGCTTTCTCCTCTCTTGCCGTATTTCCTGACCAGTGCTCTCAGACACGTGGGATAACTAGCTATTGAATTGTGCTTTCTACTCCAACCATCTCTGAACTCATTTGACTTATGAAAATAAATCGTTACCACCTTTCTTTATCAGGGTATCCCCAGCAAACTTAGTATGCAGAAACAGAAATCAAGCTTTTTGTAACTCATGCACTTCCCCACAGAAAAGTCACTTTTCTCAAGTCTCCCCTGAATCACATGCACAGCTCCCCAGAACCCCTTCCTTTCAAGTGTGTATAATGGTACATACATTCACCCAGTCTTCCCAGGGTTCCTCCTTGCTGTTTAAATCCTTCCATTCTCTGCATTCCATTCTCATGACCCCTCCCAAGACTCCTAAGGATTCCTGCAGCCACGGGCATCCGTGCTTCTACTGTCCTGTCTGTCACTCCAAGCCTGCTCACTCCAGACACACATTATCTTTTTGTTTGTTTTTTCAAGACAGGGTTTTACTGTATAACATCCCTGGCTTGTCCTGAAATTTCTTTTGTACATCAGCTGGCCTCAAACTCAG